ACAAATAAAATATTTTTTAAAAAAAGATCTTTATAATACTGAAACGGTAATTCTGGAGTGTCCTATCTGTTCATTGTTTTTTACCTTTTGCTTTTTTGGTTTTTCAAATGCCATAAAGACCGAAGATCCTGGAGACTTCATGGTACTATCAAGAGACTGCCACTCTTTGGATGACTGAGTACACCTGCTTCTCCACGTCCTCGGTGCCCTCAGCTGTGTCCTCTCCCAGCCACTTCAGTGCCAATTCCTCAGGGACCGCTGCAAGCCCTTCCCAGCCTTATGCTGAGAACCCGCTGACTTCAGGGCACTGGCACCACCCACGATCTCCCAGCTCCTACTGCACTGAAACTTCACAGGGAGATTTTTCAAGCCATTCTTTCTTAGCATCAACTGTCCCCCTTCCTCAAATCATCTTCCCCCCCTTTCCCTTTAACTCCTTAAGCTACAAGGAACAAAGCTGCAAAGGGAGGCCTTAAAGCCCCATCTGCAACTGCCAAACTCCCACTCCATCTCCCTTCATACTGTCTCCTCACCTTCGGGCGTACTGCTCAGTCCGTCTCCCTTGTGCTTCTCTCCTTCTCAGTTGTCCCACCAAACACCCAGAACCCCGCCCTGGCCATTGTAAAGCTTCTTCATCGTCTTTCTCCACAACACACAGGCCCCTTCACTGGACTTAACTCAAATCTGCCCTCCCCCAGAGCCCGCTAGCCTCACAAACCTCTTTTGGGACAACTGGCCATTCTTCTTCAGGAGGTCCTGATGAGGGCTCACAGCTCCATGCTGTTACTCCCAGACCATTTCTACTTTAGGTAGTACTTTCATACTTTGTATAAAAGCCACTTCTTGTCTTTGATGCTCATGCCACAGTGGCTTTCAGAACTGTATTAACCTTGGCAATTTCTTCAAATACAATCCTCTTCTTATGGCTCTGATACCATACTGTCTCATCTGCTAGGAATGTGCTCCTTCAGGTATTACATTTGTCCCTTGTATTTTTAACCTTCCCCTCGCAGTACATAAAAAATACATGCATACATATGACTTTGCCTCCATTCCTTTAACTACTGCACTACACCTTTTCTTCTTTGTTTTTTCTTTTTGTTAAGATTTAATTTTTAAGGAATCTCTTTAACCAATGTGGGGCTCAAACTCACAACTGCGAGATCAAGAGTTGCATGCTCCACTGACTGAACCAGCCAGGGGCGCCATGCAACACCCCCTTTTCTCTGTGTTGAATCTTCCTAAAAGAATAAGCTACGCTGTGTCTCTACTCCTTCATGGGTACATCAAACCCACTGGCACTGAAACAGCACCTGCCAGGGTCAAAAAAAAAAACCCCATTACCAAACATAAAGAAACACCTTATCTTCATCTCAGGTAAAATCTCTGACAAACAACACTCCTGGGTTTTCATGACCGCCCCTCCCTCTGGTGTCTCCTTCCACCTCTCACTTCCTGAGAAGCCTCTCTTCCTTTACTGACCTCCATGATGCTCTCCAACACTGGGTCTGTCTCTTCTAAGTCTACACATGCTCCTGGTGCAGTCTTCTGCACAGACAAGGCTTACACTACCACCTACATTCTGCACCTTGAACATCCCTACCAGCACTTCCAAGTCAAATACTCCCAACCCAGCTCTTCCTGCTACCTTCCATCAAAGCTGCTCTACCTCTGGGGGCCTACCTCCTGTCAACTCACCAAACAGGGAAACCTGAGAGGGATCTTAAACTCCCCCTTTATTACTACCTACATTCAGTGGCTCCCCACGTTATAGAAATTCCGCCACTTACATACTTCTCATATATATTGTTTTCCTTTCTATTTCAGTATCACTTTAATGTAGTCCCCAAGAACTTCTCTAAACTGTCACAACAGCCTTGCAGCTAGTCTCTTCCACTATGTCAGCCACATGACCACCAAAAGCTTTCTTCTCAAAGTCTGGATCCCATCAGGTTACTTACTTGTTTAAAATCCTTCAATGGCATGCCAAAACCCTCAGCATGCCATAAAAGGCCTTCTGTGATGTGGCCTTTGCCAACCTCCCAAGCTTCATCTGTGCTCCTTCCTCACGTTCTCTATCCATCAACTCTGTTCTCTCACTTGCTTATCTTGCACATGCTTCTTTCCCTTGCTTATTCATCAAACCTAACAAAAACCTGCTCACTCTGACACTGCTCAATATGAGCATTATTTCCTTTCTGCACCCTCTCAGACACGTGTTCCTTCCATTCTGCTCTTAGGCACATCTCTACAACGCTATTTATTCTATCAGTATTTTACTATTATTCTTTCTCTCCTGTTGGACTGTGAGTTCCCTGAAGGGAGGAATTTCCTCTTATTTTTTTTGTTGTTGAGCTGTGTATCACTAGCTCTTAATACACTGCCTAGCACATATCAGAGTTTTAAAAAACATTCACCAATGGGGCACATGGGTGGCTCAGTCGGTTGAGTGTCCGACTCTTGACTTCGGCTCGGGTCGTGATCTTGGGGTTGTGGGATCGAGCCCCATGTCAGGCTCTGCGCTCAGTGGGGAGTCTGCTTTTCTCCCTCTCCTTCTGCCCCTCTCCCCGCTCCCACTCTCTCAAATAAATAAGTAAATCTTTCTTCTGAAAAACTGCCTAGGATCCCTAGAAAGGAAAACGCAATAAACAAATATCCATTAAATTCCTGAATGTAAGTACAGACTATACCTTAAATAGAAGACAAAATATATTCCTTAAAAACCAAAATGAACAGAGGTCCAGATTAGCAACAGCCTCCACTAAGAGTGAAATGAACATACACTGTCTTTTCCAGGTCAGGCTCTGCACTCAGCAGGGAGTCAGCTTCTCTCCCTCTCTCTCCCTCTAACCCTCCTGCTGCTCACATTCTCTCTCTCTTAAATAAGTAAATAAATTTTTTTAATATATTTTATTTATTTGACAGAGAGAGCAAGAGAGTGAACACAAGCAGGGGGAGTGGGAGAGGGACAAGCAGGTTTCCTGCTGAGCAGAGAGCCCGATGCGGGGCTCGATCCCAGAACCCTGGTAAGGCAGACGCTTAACGACTGAGCCACCCAGGCACCCCTAAATAAATAAATCTTAAAAAAAGAAAAAAAAAACATTCACCAAGTCGATCTTCACACACTAAAAGTCCTATTCTTTCTTACTTTCGTGTCTTTGCATTTAAAATAGAACACCATGAGCTCCCACTATAAATGGCAATGAATTAAAGTGGAGGGGAGAGCTATTCTGTTCTATTTGGGAAAAGAGTATCTGAGTTACTGGTGGACGGTAATACCCGCCCTTTGAGTAAAATGTAGACAGAGTTATAGTTCTAACAAAAGTTAAGGAGGCGCATTCTGTCACCCAACAAAGTTACTAAACAGCAGAGCCATAGAGTAAAGCAGGAAAGTCAGCAAATTAATAGGCTGACTTTGAATTAAAGTATATTTTATTAAAACTTAAGGGGAGGGGTGCCTGGGTGGCTCAGTCGTTAAGCATCTGCCTTTGGCTCAGGTCATGATCCCAGGGTCCTGGGATCGAGCCCCGCATCAGGCTCCCTGCTCAGCGGGAAGCCTGCTTCTCCCTCTCCCACTCCCCCTGCTTGTGTTCCCTCTCTTGCTGTGTCTGTCAAATAAATAAATAAAATCTTTAAAAAAAAGAAAAGAAAAGAAAACTTAAGGGGAAAGTGAAAATTAAAAAGTCAGCGTTTAGCCTAGGTATTACTAGAGCCCAGTGTTAGCCAATGAGCCTAATTTTAGGCAAATTTCCCAAAAAAAAATAAACAGGACTGGTTAAACAATCTCATCTATAAAAATTACAGTAAGTAGGCACAGTTAACCAATACAAACAAATATTTTTAGATTATAAACTTTAGGGGACCAGGTGCTCTCACTATAAAAATACAAAAAATGTAAATATGATCACATACTCAAAGCTTACGTTAAAACAGTAGTCATTCACATGTAATTCCTAAAAATAGTAGAATCAATATACAGCCAGATTTTCTATAACTAATCATACAGAGTTCAGAGCTCAGAAGAGCTGAATTATTGACTCATAATGCAAAGTCATTTTCATTATGTTTAAAAAAATAAATAGCAGGGGCACCTGGGTGGCTCAATTGGTTAAGCGTCCAACTCTTGATTTCGGCTCAGGTCCTGATCTCAGGGTCATGAGATCCAGCTTCGAAACAGGCTCCGCACTCAGCGGGGAGTCTGCTTCCCCTCTCCCTCTCCCTGTGCCGCTGCCCCCAGCCCACGCACATGCGCTCTCTCTCTCAAATGAATAAATCTTTAAAAAAATAAAAATAAAAATAATTAAAAAATAAAAAGCAACATTTGTTGGTTTGAACACAAGGGGTTCAAAACTGAATTTTCCAGGTGTCCACTGCCAAATATGTTAGTTCTTCCAACCCAGGCCTTCATATTTGTGTTTCCTTTCTTTTCCATACCAAATACTGCAATCTCACCGCAGCCTCTATTATACAGCCTCATCTTTACAAAAGCCCTCCCTAGAAGTGCTAACTGGAGCTATCTACAGCATTAACAAAAAGAACTTTCCAGATCACATCCATCTCAAAGGATTTCCCTCAAAACTGAGATGGGAAGGCAAGGAACAAATGTCTTTTGATACCAGATACTGTAATTTTAACACTCAGCATTTCTGGCATTACACTAATGCCATACAATTTTGTTGGTTCCAACTATTAGTCATTATTAGTTTAATAATAGTTGCTATTAGTTTTCCCACATTACTTGGTAACACAACTTGCAGAAAATTAACCACGTGTAACACTGAACACAAATAATGAATTTAGTAATTCTAATACATGATACTTTAATATTTTATCTGTTGGAAGAACCCACTGGAAAACTGTTGGTAATATGATCATCGTCTTCTAGGAAGCCAGGGATTACTATTAATCTAAAAAAATTAAAATTTTACAGTATCCAAATTAGTGAACAAACCAGTAATATACTTATTAAAACAGACGTATTATTATAAAATATCACTCACCATCCCCAGCAGGAAGTCCTCGCTCCTTTTTTTCATCACATTTGTTGCATTCACTGAAGTAAAGCAGCAGGAACATATCCAAGAGTACCCAAATCAAGGAGGTGGCTAGGACCACCTTGCAATATGCAAATTTTCTCATGGCACTTAAGTCAAATGCAAAATTTTAAAATATATATATATATAAATATACAAAGATCATGAAAATTATTCCAATCCAGTTTCATCAGAAATCACGTTCATAACCTATAGAGATAAAAAGAAAAAAAGATTAACTTAAAAATATCAAAACCTTAAAAATGAACTGAAAGATTAATTTAACATGCATATGAAATTTTACTATTAAGTTTAAAAATCAGACTTAAAAAATACTTGTAAAATACATAAAAATTAATAGTATCAAGAACGTATACAAATAACTCCTACAAATAAACATACAATAATCCAAAAGAAAAATGGGTAAAGGATATAAACAAGCACTTTGCAGAAAGGAAACACGAATAGCCAATAAATATGGAAAAGCACTCAAGTATAATTGGGAAAATGCAAATTAAAACAATAGTGAGCTACTATATCATACCCATCAAACATACAGGGTTTAACTCCCTTCTATTCAACTGCTATATTAAAAATGCTAAGCCATTAACTGCCACAGGAGTTTAAGAAACCAGCGATTCTCAGTCCCATTTCGACCACTCACATTCAGTTCCCAGGTCCCAGGCAGCAATAGGAGTTCTCCTAGTTTTGTACCACAGCAGTTTATTGGGCTAATTCTTATCTCTCTCCCACTGAATCCCATTCTAAAAACACCAAATGGTCACCAGCCATTCAGAAACACTCAGGGAAAGTATAATGGAGAAGAAAAGAGGATCATAAGATCTGAGACCTAATCCTGGCTCTGACAGTAATTTTACAGACTTCCTTGATCTTTAGGTTCTGTTCCCCCACCCGTGCCCCTCAATCTGTTCAATTATCATGAGAAAATGACTGGAGAAACTGTCACCAAATTTGGCAAGTCATTTGGGACAGTCTGACTAGTTACATTTCTGCTACAGAAGGAGCTCATCTTGGGAAGCTCTGGAGCAGACTGAGGGACCTCAAAGAGGTCGGGAGTCATTCTGATGAACAGCAGACACGGAAGCTCAAAGGCCTGTGTCACTGCTGACCGGGAGAGAGACAAGCCAAGTGCATTTAGATGAAGTGGATTGAGGAAACACACACTTTGCACATGTGCCTCACAATGAAAGCCAAATGAGCAGATGCTCTGAGGGACTGGGTTGATGGGCAACACAGCAGCTTCTCAAAGGGCACCTTAACGTTCCATGGTTGGCAGCAGAGGTATTTACCCGAACAGTTCAGGCCAGGCCAGAGAGTTTATCTATGAAAAAGATATAATACTTCTTGCCTGCTTCACGAGGTTGCTAGACAGCAACCTGAAAAGCACCCCAAAAAAATCCTAAGTGATACTTATAAAGTATTATTTGTGCTCTGTTCTGTGACTTTTGCTCGCTTGCCTATATTCCTCCTTTCATCAAACCAACACTTCCTGACTGCACAGTGAACAGGGCTGTCTGTTACTGCTGTATTCTTGCCTCAAAATTGTACTTACTCAATATTTGATATCGTGTCACGTGCAGTGAGCAACTACTGATGACTCTGGTAACCACGATGAGGGAGGACCAAAAACATTACAGTGCACAGCCTCATGAAGCAGTTCTCTCCAGAAAAGCTAGATAGATATAAATTTATATTTTGAGCTACTTTCCATGAAAAGCTACCTCTTTTGGTCCCTGGCAAAGGAAACAATCTGACTGCTAGTACAGTATCTGAAATCCAAAAGTAACTTTAATGTTCTCGAAAACCTGATTTTTTTTTTAATGCTTACAGCCCAGATTAGTTCAATGCAAATCTCCATTACTTTGTATTCATTCCTATTTAATTTTTCCAAGGCAGCACAATTAGATTCAAAAATTGAAGATGAAGTTCAGTGGGTATGTATGTGTTTGGAAGAAGAAATTTGGAGGAAGCAGGAGGTGTAGGCAGAAAGGAAGATAAAAGAGAAGCAAAAAGTCTTCCAGACCTTGGGTTAGGCAAAGTTTCCTTAGATAGAACAAAACAAAACAAAAAGCACAAATCGTAAGACTGATTAAATGGACTTCACAATTATAATCTTCTTCAAAAGACAGTTAAGAAAATAAAAAAACAAGTCACAGATTGGGAAAAAATACTTACAAATTACGTATCTGATAAATGACTTGTATCCAGAATATATAAAGAACTCTCAAAATATAATTTTAAAAAACCCAATTCAATAAAAGAGGCAAAAAGTTTAAATGGTCTTGTCACCAAAAAAGCGATACAGATGGCAAATGAGCACATGAAAAGATGTTCAATATCATTAGCTTTTAGGGAACTGCTATTTGAGACCACAATGAAACACCACTATGTGCCAATCTATATGGCTAAAGGGAAAAAGAAAAATACCAAGTGCTAGCCAGGATTTGCGGCAACTGGAACTGTAATATGTTGCCAGTGGAAATGCAAAATGGTACAGTCCCTCTGGAAAACAAGTTTGGCAGTTTCTTTCTACAAGAATCTGCAATTCCATTCTTAGCTATTTACTTATGAGAAAGGAAACCATATGTCTACACAAAGATCTGTACACAAATCTTTATAGCAGCTTAATCATAACCATTAAAATCTGGAAATAATCCAAATGTCCATCACCTCGTGAATGGATAAACAAACTGTAGTACACTAAACAGTGAAATACTAATCCAGCAACATAAAAGAACTCTTGATATATATGCAATAATATGGATGAATATGAAAAGCATTATGCTAAGTGAAAGTAGCCACAAAAATGCTGTATTATCATACACTGCATGATTCCATTTATAGGGCAATCTGGCAAAGGCAAAACTATGGGGACAGAAACCAATGAGTGGTTACCAGGGGCTGCGGAGGAAGGAGAGAACTGCCCAGAAAGGAGAGTGAAGGAACTTGTGATCATGAAAACATTCCTTATCTTGTTGTGGTGGTGGTCAGACGACTATGTCCGTTTGTCCAAACTTATAAAACTACAGCTAAAAGGGTGAGTTTCTGTGAATTCAATCTCAATCCCCTTAAAAATAGATAAATATGGGGGAATACTTCAAAGAAACAATGTCGATTTTAGAAGGAGACAAATGGAGTACATTTCCTCAAACGAAACATACCAGAATTTATCTTGGAAGTCACTTAAAGCTCAAGAGTTTTTGTCCCAGCAATAGATTAAAACCTTCCATTTGAAATGCATTTGACTACCTTATTTTAAAAGTTATAAAATCAGAATTTATGTGAAAGTATAGGGATCAATTCTATTAGTAAACTTTTGATCCTACCCTACATATCATACTGTCAAGTTCCTCCCAAAACTAATCAGCATTTTCTAGGGCTAAAAAATTATTTTCTCCTACCCCTCATACTTTTAACCAAGGCTCTCCGGAAATTTCAGGCCTAAGAAGACAGCTCAACACTCAGTACCTTTAGGAGAAAATGGAAGCTTCATTCCCTTGGACCTAAAGCTTTAGACTTCTGGGTACATTACAGTGCTTATCTCCCCTTTCACAAGAACACGGTACCCTTGGCTCCTAGGATCACTAACACTGCGTCGTATGACACAACAGAGGTAGGAGAGACGGGACATTTCTATAGATCTATTCATTTAATCTGTAGCTGGAACTTCTGCCAAAAAAACTAAAAGACTTAAAAATACGATAATCACCCTCTAACATAGTAAGGAGAGGCTAAATTATTTTATTTGTTATATAGTCTGTTTACTCTATTTCTCAATCAGAACCATAATCAATCATATTCATTCACTTGTTAATTAATTTGTTCAATACACACAAACTCAGTAAATACAGGGAATGTGTCAAATGCACGGAATAAAAAAATGAACAGAATGCACACCCCCTTGCCCTTATGAAATTTAGAGTTGGCTCCAGGAAAGCAGGGATTAGTCAAACAGTCACATATACATAAAATTACACTGGTGATAATTGTTTGGAAGGGAGGTACACAGCAATATAAACATCTGTATTACAAAGATCAAACTTTGTCAAAAAGGCTTCCCTGAGGAAAACATGATTTGAGGGGAAAATAAGCATTGGGGGCAGTGAGTAGCAAGGGCTCTGTAGCAGGAAGGAGCCCAACACTGAAAGGTCAGGGGATCCAAGACAAAAGAAGAGGAAACTGTGATATGAGATAAAACTGGAGCTGGATAAGAGTGGGCAGATTCAAGAGATATTCAGGGACAAACTCAACGGGATGCAAGGACAAATCAGATGGGGGGAGAGGGGAGGAAATCCTGGCTTATACCACTGGATGCAGAGTGGTGCCAGTCATAGAAACAGGGACCAATAAAAAAGGACAAATTTTTGGAAGGAAGGAAGAAGCAAGATAAGAAGAAACTTAAGTTTGACTTTGGACATGTTGAGTATCAGGTAACCCTGATACCTTCAAGAAGAGATATTAACCACAGCTAAGGATACAAAAGTTTGAGGCCCAAAGGAGGCGTCTAAGGTAAAGATATGCGGACAGAAGCCCTTGCTCCTATGCAACATCGCTGGGGCAGACAGACTTTTAAAAAATCAATATACAAAACAATTTTTGTGGAGTGTAATTTCCCTCCTAGCATGGGGCTGGATTTGGTGACTTGCTTCTAATCAACAGAATATGGTGGAAGTAACGGTGTGCGATTTCAAGGCCAGTCCTAAAACACACGTCCTCCTAGCTTTCTCTCAGCTCATACTCTGGGGAAAGCCAGCACCAATGTCAGAAGGATACTTTTTTATAAGGTCCACATGTTAAGAAACTGAAGCCTCCTACCAACAAGCAGTACTATCATGCCAGGCATGGTAGTGAACCCCTTTGGAAGCAGTCCCAATCAACCCTTCAGATGGCTGAAGCTCCTGCTGACATTTTGACTGCAATATCCAGAAAGATCCTGAATCAACACCACCTTGCTAAGGGGCTCCTGCATTCCTGACCCAAAGATAATACAAGATAAAAAATGTATATTGTTTGAAGCCAATAACTTTGGAGGTAATTCATCAATATTCATCAATATAGGATTTCAACAACAAAAAAGGCCTAGAAAGAAAATTCTTTAACCTAAAGATATTTAATGATAGGACTTGTTGACTTGTCATGCATTTCTGTAACATAAGATGACTTATGCATCCTTACTTCAATTTGACATA